TTAAATAGCAATATTTACTGTAAAATTTAATGACCTCCAGTTACTTTTACTCTTTTAAGTCTAAGCTTGTTGCGGGAACCAACGATTATAAAATTATTATAGGTAGCTTTAATTGCATGAACACAAGTTGGCCAAAATAACCATACATCTTTTTTCGAACAAGGTGGAACAACTGCCTTTGGTTCAAACCTAATGTATATGTAAATAATGTATATATAAACCTTTATATATACATTATTTACATATGTATATATATATATATATATATATATATATATATATATATATATATATATATATATATATATATATATATATATATATATATATATATATATAAATATATATATATATATATATATATATAAATATATATATATATATATATATATATATATATATATATATATATATATATATATATATATATATATATATGTATATATATATATATATATATGTATATATAAATGAATATATATATATATATATATATATATATATATATATATATATATATATATATATTCATATAAAATTATATATATATATATATATATATATATATATATATATATATATATATATATATATATATATATATATATATATATATATATTTATATTTATATATATATATATATATATATATATATATATATATATATATATATATATATATATATATATATATATATATATATATATATATATATATATATATATATATATATATATATATGTATATATAAATGAATATATAGTTTTTATGTGTATACACATAGTTGTCATGTTTTGAAAATGTTTACAAGGGAGACTTGGAAAAAATTTTATACCACTGGATATTTGTCCACTAAAATACCTCTATTGACTAAAAAAGTTTTTAAATGATTTATTACTCTGACAACTAACTTAAAAATGTCCCAATTTGTCCACTGACTGAGCTGAAATTTATTCTGTATAGATATACTTTTATATATTTATGTTTGTGTTGAGCAATGTTTAACAATCTTTAACCATTTTTCTTAACTTATAAAATAAAAACAATTTAAAAATATTAGAAGCTTGCTTTATTTTAAGTTACTAATGAGGAAAAGAAAGTTTTTAAATTATTTTTAAATGCAGGTTGGAGATAAATTTCTCTTCAAATTTCAGAAAACTCCTGCCAAATGGGGAGACTTCATAGGTCTGTATACATATACTTAACAAAACTAGTAAACAAACTCTTAATAAAATAATAATAGTTAAATGTTTAACTATACAAATATTAAATTCCTCATAAAATAATAAACTCTTAAATATTGATAATAATTCTTTAATAGTATTTCCAAACCATTATACCAACTTATATATTTTTCAATAAAAATGACTAGACATGACAATATTTTGTAATTTAAAAAAAAAAACTATTTATGTATTTATTATACACACAATATGCCTCTCTTATACACACACACACACACACACACACACACACACACATACACACACACACACACACACACACAAAAACACACACACATCGAATTTACTGAGATTTATGTACTTTATATACATTTTGATATAAAATCTAAAAGTTTTAAATTAGTCGCCATAAATTAGGCTATAAAATATAACTTTATTAATTTTTTTTATACCATAAGCATGCATTCTATCAAGTTTTCCTTGCCTTTCCATTACGGCAAATTATTTTTGTAATGTTAGTTATTGAGACAATAATTTTCAATGTGCCACTTCCTCAACATTGTCAAAACAACGTTTTATTAACGTTGGCAAAGTAACACTTTTTCAACGTTTTTTAATTACCACATTTTCAACCAACGTTGAAATAACGTTGAATAAGTGTTGTTTTTCAAATAGTTTAAATTCGTTGAAAAAGCAGCTAATGTCTAACAAAAAAGCAGCTAATCTCTAACGTTGATAAACCATTACCTTTGCGACATTTTTACAGTGATTATTTGTGTACTTATTTTCAACATTTTATAAACGCATTTTTTTGAAAAGATAAGATACGTTTAAATTTATACGCTTATTCAACATTGAAAATGTAACGTTTAAAAAGCGGTTTATTTTAACGTTGATAAAGAATATACTTTGAAACGTTTTTAAAGTGGCTTTTTGCGTAAGTTGATTCTACGTTGAATAAACGTTTAATTTTGAGAAGCTAAATTACGTGACAATTTCAACGCTTATTCAACGTTTCAGCTAACCGCAATTTAGTATACAAAAAACAGACATTGATTCAACGTTGAAAGCACATTGTTTTTGTGACTGTAACGCCTTTTCTACGCTGCGACTGGTTTTTAACGTTGATTCAACGCTTTCATGTTTGCTAGGTATATATATATACATATACATATATATATATATATATATATATATATATATATATATATATACATATATATATATATATATATATATATATATATATATATATATATATATATATATATATTTATATATAGTCAGAAAAATAGTAATTAACAAAATAATTAATGAAATTGCACTTTGATATATAAGAAAATAGTCATAACAGTAAAAACAAAAAAAACAAAAAAAGAAAAAAAGTTTAAGCATTGACCAGAAAAATATTATACATAAAGAACATATTTATCTGAAGTTTAAAAAAAAAATTATTGAAATCCTACACTCAGATTTTTAGAAAATTGATTTCAAATAAGTAAACAAATCTATGATTTACACTAAAAAGGTATTAAATAAAAATAATGTTTAAATTCGCAAGGATTTTTGTTACTTCTATTTATTTATATTTTTCTGTGAAATTTTTTTATTTTTATATTGATTTACGTTAAACATAAGGCTATATCATTGGCTTTACAGAAATTAATTAACAAATAATCTGTTGCCATATAAAATATTCTCTGTAGTTAAGTTCCGTAGCCATTTTAAATGTTCAAAAGTTTTTCATATTTTCTTACGCATGCGTACCTAAACATAGTGCTTTTTACTAATATCTAAACAACCGTGATAGAGTAATTCTTTTGATTAAAAAACCTAAAGGAATTTTTTAATCAACTTCCTCTTTAATTGACAATATTTTAAATACGGATATTGTTAACAAGTTGTTAAAAAAGAGAATATTTAAAAATAGCATATCTGATCACTTTCCTATTATCTTTTTTATAAATGTTGATACAAATTTATTATCTAACGAAACACGATTTTTAAAAAGCGCAATTTTTCAAATGATAACCTTGAATCTTATTAAAAGCAGTTATCTCTAATTCATTGGAATAGCATTAACTTTTCTGATGATGCAGATTTAGTTAACAACTCCTTTTTTAAAATGTTTTATGATATTTACAATACTAATTTCCCTGAAGTTAGTTCAAATCTCAAAGCTAAAAGTGTTAAATCGCCCTAGATTACAAAAGGTTTGCGGAAGTTTTTAAAAATCAAACAAAAATTATATATTAAATACGTAAAAATTAAAACAAACAAAAATAAAATTATATATAACAATTTTGCAAACCTTTTTGACCATCTCAAGAAAAAAAAAAACAAAAAACAAAAAAACTGTTACATAAATTTACTTGATAAATAATTTGATTTTAAACGCACGTGGTTTATAATGAGAGAAGGGACTGGCAGCAAAAATTTCACATCACGGTCTCTGCCTAATACAGTTAAAATTAATAATGATTTTTAATAAAAGAGAGATTGCGGAGAATTTTTCTAAATACTTTTGTCTGAAGGACCAAAACTAGCCAAACTAATTCCTAAATCTAATTCTTACCTCGACTCTTTCGAATTTTCTTTTGAGGAGTTTGAAAACGCCTTTAAAATGTTAAAGTGTAACAAAGCATTATGTCCGGATGGTGTTAGTGATAACTAACTTATAATAAATACTTTTGATGTAAAAAAGATATACTTTTTAAGGTTTTTTCAATTTGAATTAAATAGGAAATTTTTCGGTAAGATTGCAACTTATTTCTTTCTCATAATAACATTAAAACACTTGTTAAAAACATGAACATTGAACTAGTAAAAGTTTCTGAATGGTTTAAATTAAACAAATTGTCATTAAATATTGATAAAACTAAATAGATTCTTTTTCATCCAAGCGCAAAAAAACATCTGCTGCCTAGTAACTTGCCTTTTCTTTATAAGGATAATATAATAATTGAAAGAGTTTTAGCGACAAAACTTTAAGATGTCTATATTGACGAAAATTTAACATGGATAAACCACATTGCTAACTTGTGCGGTAAAATTTCTATGAATATAGGTATTTTATACAAAACAAGAAGCCTTCTTAAAAAAAGTACCTTAATTGAAATATTTTACTTTTAATTCATTGTCATATTAACTTTGTAAAAACTCCAACCTAATATGAAAAAAACCTTTTAAATAGTTTATCTGCTTTAGATAATAACTAATAAACCATTGCAGAAAAAAGAATAACAAAAATAAAGTTTAATAAAATTTTTTTTTTTTTAAAGTTTTTGTTTTTATAAAAAGTTTATAAATGTTTTTAATAGAATTTATAAATGAAAGACAACAATTTTTACAATTTTTATCTCTCAAATGGGTCATTGTCAGGAAATCTTCGAAAAAATTTATACAACTTATGTTTTTTTTTTTAAGTTTATAATTTTCTTGCGTTTATTTTAAAAATTGTTTTTATTGCAATTTTTAGAAAAGTAAACAAAATCAACCACTTCTTTATAACAAAAGGGCATTCTGTAAAGTTTATTTAAAACTAAATTTTGTCATAAATACATCAAAAAGTTTATTGCATATGATTTTTGCACATTGCACTAATGCCAATTTTAGGTTATTGTTTAACTTCAGCTAATGAGCAGCCGACTAACCAAATTAAACACATAGCTAACAAATAAACAGTAGTTGTAAAGTAGTGTTACAATTAGATTTGCTAGTAAAAGTAGTTAAAGGAGTATGTTGATATTGTTTTAATTTTGTTATTAATTTTCTCTTTGTTATACTTATATAACTCAATGATATTTAATATTCTTTAAAGGGATGGCATGTGAAAATAATAAAGACACTATTTTAAAGTCACTTATAAAAGAATCAAAGTATTTTGATGCTAATGACAACTTACTACGTGCAATACTTCAATGGGGACTAGAAGGGCTTGATAAATACGAAGAAGAAATGGGGAAAAAAAATTTTGACAAGTTGAAATCATCAGTTAGCAAACTTCTAAATACCCAAAACAGTTGTAAGTTCAACTAGTTTTTTCACATCTCATTTGATTTTTTTGACTACATTATCAATAATAAATATATATTAAATATATATATATATATATATATATATATATATATATATATATATATATATATATATATATATATATATATATATATATATGATATATATGATATATATATATATGTATATATATATATATATATATATATATATATATATATATATATATATATATATATATATATATATATATATATATATATATATATATATGTATATATATATATATATATATATATATATAT